TAGAAGTAGAAATAAAAACCGCAATAAAATGTTATTTATTACTGTAATATTTTAAACTAAACCGAGACTTTAGACAGTTAGGAATCTCAATGTACTCACAAATGCAAAGAAATATGTTTGAAATGTTCGCAATTTGTAGAGATATGAAAATATAGATCTTAGAATAGAAGTTCTTGTTGGTAGAGGTTCTTTATTATCTCTTAATTAAGAATGTTTAGCCAAACATTAATTATTTTTTTTATTCTTAATTTACCATTTTCATGGTATATTATTACTAACAGCAACAATAACCATATTATCGCAGTTAATTAATTGTTTGCTTTATTTATATTCTGGTGTTATATTTTCGAAGAAAGAACACAGTTAAACAAACTCAATAGTTTTAAATTATTAATGTATTTTACTATAAATTATGCTTTATTAATATTTTTAGTCATTAAAATATAGTCATTGATAAGTTTGACGCAAAATAATAATAAAGTTACTTCAAAATTATTACAATTTTAAAATTTAAACATTCACCACAAAGTGGCCAAAATAATTTAGCCTGAATGTATTGTGATAGAATTATGTAAACCTTTATGAAGCTCATAATATTTGATTTATTTATAGTTAAATGCGAAGCAATACTCGAAATTTTATTTCATGTTATTTTTTGAAAAAAAAAAAATTGCCGCCTAAAATCTTTAATTACCCAAACTAGATTTGGTAGGAATCGAATAGAAACATGAATTCGATAAGTTTTTATCGAGGTTGGTACGTTTTTTTGCTTGTTATATTTTTGTTATGGCAACTTTTTTGTGTATAACGTTCAGAAATTGCTAGAAGCAGCCAATTTAAATTATTTGTGATAATTATATGAAATAAATGTTTAGAAATGAAATACTTGTTTCACTTGGTTATATTTGTATATTTTCTATATGTCGATGACATCTATTACAAGGACACCAATTAGAACAGCATAGTAAACATCAATTATAGTCTGACCAGAAATATAAAAAGCTTCGCCATATTGCGGAAAAACATGGAACTACGTACATGTACGTAAAGTGACAGTAATGAAATCTATTGAAGCGCCCCCAGGCTACCATTTTTATATTATTGGTTAGGCTTTACAATCTGATATGGAAATGTCTTTAATATTTAATTTCATTATCATATTGAATATTCATACAATCTTATAAATTAATGACGCTTATTAAAATATTTCCTGTATAACATACGTCAACATCGCTAAAACTAAATTCATCGACCAAATGGTATTAAAAGATCTGTTGTCAAGATTAAAAACATTGAAATAAAATGAATACCATTTATCTATCACATAATTTAACACTATGATCTAATAGTAAGTCGATTTAGGCGCGGATCTAATTAAATATTAAATGCAAATAAAACACTACTTTCATACATTAGCAAATAGTACATACCAAAGATAGAAACCTTTACCATATTGCGTGAAAATACGGAACTAATATATTTGCGTATATTAGCCGAATTAAGCGTCCATTGGCTAATTTTTACAATCTTGGCTTATACATAATATACAGTTAAAATTCAATTAAAAAAAAATTACATTTTGTTACAGTGTGCTGAACCCTTAATTCGATAGGAAATAAGGGCAAGTTTTTTTAAATATAGGTTTTTATACCAAGGACCATGTAAATGAATAAAAAAACAGATTTCTTTACAATCATGTTCTATGTAGCGGCCAATATAAAATTAAGGATTTTTTTTTAATAAAATAAGGTAGCAAACGAGCAAGCGGGCACCTAAATCCGCCAAAATGGCGAAGCGACCGCTGCCCATAGACATCCGCAATTGCAGTTGCGTTGCTTACCCTTATCCGAAGGAAGGGGACACACATAAAGCGGATATTTCCTTTTCCTATGCATCTCCTCCACTGTCAAATGCACTTCCCCTTCCCATTCTCTCCTTATAAGAAAAGGGCGGTAAAGAGAAAGGGACTTAAATTAGGATTAAACTGCTTTTGTCATACATTCGCTTTGAAAATGTTTTTTGTAGTTAAAGCAATGAAAGCTTACAGTTACAAACTGCACTTTTGCTAATGTACAAAGTATTTGTTTAAAAACTAATTGCAGGGAGACATACAACTAATTTATACACACATAAATATATCACATTAAGCTAAATCAGTCATATTAACAAGGATATGACGCACGTGCCATCTAAATTGATCGTTTTATACAAGTCTTGCTGACTTTGGTTTATAACTAATAGATTATTTACTGAATCTGCACAAATATCGACAACATTTAATATTTTATGCATTTTACATTTTATAAACTTGAATAAGCATATTACAAAGCTATTCAAATTCAACCACATTTTGTATAAATCTAAGTAAAATGCAAGAGATAGGCGAGGTAGATTTAAGAGTTTGTTCAGTAAATACCAGATTGAAAAACTACACAATCATTAGGTACATTTTTTTTCATTATTTTTCATATTTATAGATTTGATACATTTCAAAATTCAACATAAGAATACAATGTCAATAATTTTACAATATCAATGTCAAAGTAATAAAATATAAGCAGAAACGCAATACAAAGCGTAACATTAAGATTTTGAGAATTCTTTCAGTCGTTATACAAGATGTATATATTTTTAGACATAATTTACAATACATTAAAGCTTAGCGCTAATCGTCACCAACACAACTCTACTTCGGGAGCGATTTTGATAGTTTAAACACTAATATCACTTTATCTCATACATTTAGGAATAACTGGGTATCGACCAGTATTACAAATTGATTCAGACACGACATTAATTATTTACGAATTATCGTAAAACTGTTTCCCAAAAGTCCCATAATTTATGAAGATAATTTATGACACATCACATTCATATTCCAGGACGGTTTTGTGATAGAAGAGAAGATACCTGTAATATAAAATAATTCAATTAATAAGTACTTAATTAATAACAAGTAAGTAGAGAGTATCATTTTAGAGTTTTTTCCACATCTATGCATAATTTAACTGAGATGTGTTAAGCCTTTTTTAGACTGCAATTCCTTGACTTTCTCCTTCTGTCTTTCCCTGTTACACTATCCTATTGCCGGTACTGCTTTCTCTATTGCAATATTAGTATGTTTTTTTAAATTGTATTTTACTATTAATGCGATAGTTTAGATGGATGGATGGATGTTTGTTAGAGTTTTTAGTCTAAACGCCGAAATAAGCGTCCATTGAAATTTGGAATAAATGTAGACGATAGATAGCAAGAACACAGGCTACTTGCTTTTTTTCATTCAACGCGAAGGAGTCATGGGCGAAATCTAGTATTAGTTAAAGTTTGAAATACATACCCCTCACTATCCAGGACTTCCCGTAGCGAGGCTCTTGTGATCATGTGGTCATCACACTTGAACCAGCTGCCCTTCATCTGTCGCACATAAGCAGTATAATGTCCAGCATCCAGCGACCCAAGGTGGTTCACAACCGCGAACAACGAATACCGATTATCTTCAAAAATACCTTGCGGGGCATTATTATTCTCTGATCCCCCCATGTCTACTGCACGACGATGTGATGACATAAAAGGAGTCATATCCAACTCAGCAGGAAAAGATATAAATGCTGATATCTTCCTATCTATCTGCGAGGAGTGTTCGAAGCGTTTAAGATGGAAACTTGCTACAATCGGTAACGTTTCTAATGTCAGCTGTTTAGTAGATTCCCTGTACGCTCGACAATTGGAGCATTTAATTTTGGCC